ATTCTCCCCTTCACCCCCCCCCCCACTGCCAAAGTTGTAAAGTTCATTTTTCGTCATAGCATCTTGTACATTTCATTGTTGCAGTGGGTCCACCCCTATCCCTATTTAAGCAATTTGTTTTTTCCCTTCCCCTTCCCAAATTATACCAACATCAAATACAGTGAAAACAGGGGTTATACAGTGGGGGAGGGACATACAAACCAAAAAAGTCACCTTATAAATAGCACGAAAGAAAAACCACTTGAGTCCTTATCTTGGGGTTCATTTTTTTTGTTTTGTTTTGTTTTTTTTTTGTCCAGTCGTGGGGCCTGAACTCTGGGCCTGGGCACTGTCCCTCAGCTCTAGCGCTCTACCTCTTGAGCCACAGCGCCACTTCCGGCTTTTTTCTTTTTGCTTATGTGGTGCTGAGGAATCGAACCCAGGGCCTCAGGCATGCAAGGCAAGCACTCTACCACTGAGCCACCTTCCCAGCCCTTGGGGTTCATTTTTTAAGGATATCAACATGGGAGGAAAGCAGAGCCAGGGGACTATTAGATCATTAAATATTAAATTATTAGCTATTAGATTATTAGATATCCCTCTTTCCCACAGTGCTACCTTGGAGACAAGACTTTAATTACAATGGATACTAAAAGGACACAAACCCTACATAACGTAAGGTAATAATGTTTTATTGTTTTAGGAGCTACAATGTGGTAGTTACTTTACTCATCTAGGGAGAACAAGTACCGTGGATGTTGTGGCCAGGTTATGTGGAGAGTATACTGGGAAGAAATATTGCTGTGGCCATTTGAAACTACAATCCATCATGTAAGTATTTATTCAGAATACTTGGGTTTATAACTTTTTTTAGCACAAACATAAATGCTGCAAAACTGGTTCATGTTAAGTTTTTTGGCAATTAACATTAAGCTAATTTTTACAAATTTCCTTAAATTATGATGCAGATTCTCAATCTGACCTCAAGAAAAAATAATGATAGTTGTGAGATGAATTTTACATCCCTCCAAACATGTTTCCATCTTAATTTCAGAATCATAACTTCAGAAGGTTACTTACATGGTCCCTAAGTTTGAAAGAGATTATGAGACTTTTGATGGACTTAATCCAACATTGCTGATATTATTATATAAAGGAAACTTTAGACACAGAAAAAGACATGCACAGGAGGAAGACTATTAACAAAGGAAAATATCATATGATGAAGGCAGAGATTACAAAGGTGTATCAAATGTCAAAGCTTTTTAAGAAAACATCAGACACAAGTGCAGAGGAACAGAAGTCTTTCTCTCCCCATTCTCAGGGAGAATCTACCTTGCTTTTGAATTCAGATTCAGCCTTAGCACTGAGAAAAACGTATTTCTATTCTCTAAACCATTCTATTTTTGGTGCTTTCTTATAGACTTTTTTTTTGTCGGTTGTAGGGCTTGAACTCTGGACCTGGACGCTGTCCCTCAGCTCTTCAGCTCAAGGCGAGCGCTCTACCACTTGAGCTATAGCGCCACTTCCGGTTTTCTGGTGGTTTATTGGAGATAGGAGTCTCAAGGTCTCTCCTGCCCAGGCTGGCTTTGAACCTCGATCCTCAGATCTCAGCCTCCTGAGTAGCTAGGATTACAGGGGTGAGCCACCAGCACCCGGCTAGACTTTGGTAATAGGTTGTGGAATGCTACCAAAATAAATACTTTAAAATGTGGGATTTGTTTTAAAATGAGGTCATAAGTAATAGACATTGCTGGTGGATATGGAGATGTAAAAAGAAGACTGTGGAGTGTTCAGGAGGCTTTTATTAAGCATGTGTTGCTAAGATCAGAATGTGTGTTAAAAATACTTCTCACTCTGGCTAGCCTCCACAATTTTGATAATCCATTAACTTAAAATTTTATTCTTAATCTTTCTCTTTCTGACTTTTTGTCCCACTGTCACCTTGTATGTGTATTGGGGGGGGAGGGGTCAGTTTGTGATTGGTTTTGAAATGGTGAGAATCAACCAAGTAACCAAGAAATTAATAATCAAATAATCAGGTTATTGCTTTAGGAGGCTTATTCTAGCAATAAGACATAAATAAGAAAGTAGCTATCAATTTTCTTTCTCTGAATCTTGACCAATTTAGATTCATCAGGGAAATTTCTGAAAAATATAAGCATACCTCCAATACATTGCATTTTATGTCCTTCAGACGTTTTTTTTCCCAATTTCATAATATCCTCAATTATGCAGAGTTCTCTCTTCTTGATAATTTTCTTTCCTACCTTTTGATTCAGCCATTCACTTTTTCTTATCTTTAACCAAATTGTAGCTATGAATTTTAAAATTTAACTGTGAACTTTCCCCCTAAGTTTCACTTACCTATTACCTTCTGAATCAAATAGAACATACGCTCACATTCTGGTAATCAATAATGCTACTATTCAATCAAAACAAAAAAAAATTACCTAGAAAACCTATTCCCGTTTCCACATCACCTCAACCTTCTTTGTTACGTTTTTAAAGTATCTGTCAGCCTCCACTTCACCCTCATTCATGTTTTTTCTTTCTTTTTTTTTAACCAATTCATTCAGAGCTTTGTTGCATCTCAACTAGACTATGACAGAAGATTCATTATGTTTCCTTTATATCACATTTTCCTGGTAAGCTTCCAAAAGCAAAACTCTGTTACTTCCCTCTTTTCAATGATTTTGCATATGAATGGGTAAAGTAACTAGCTAGTTCTAACCTTCCCAGGGACTTTCTCAAATTGGCTTTATTCTTTCCACATATAACTCATGCCAACATTCTTTGTTACTACTTCAATATTTGTACTGTTTGATATTAAAATTGTTACAAAGCCCTAATTCATGTTCAAAAAAAAAAAAACACCAAAATTCGAAACTGTAGTTTGCACTGGAGACACAAGATGGCAGTACTTTATCTGCCTAACAGCAACGAGAGAGATCCTTTGCATTGCATGGATTATGCTATGAAATTGTGTATGTGCTGAATGACTATTGTGGTGTTATTGCAAACATCATTAATGGTATTTATAATGTTTAAAATATTGCACAATATTAATAACATTGAAACCAAATTTAGAGGTGATAAACTTGCTATTTAAATGACTATTGTGGTGTTATTTTAAACATTCTAATGGTATTTATAATGTTAAAATATTTCACAATACTGATAACATTGAAACAGAATTAGGAAGTCATAAAGTCGCTATTTTCGTGTCATTCCACATGTTATAGGCTGAATTCTGCCCCCTTCCCACCTTGACTGCAAAGGTTTTTATGTTGAAGCCTGTCCCCCAGTTCCTCAGGATGTAATTGTGTTTTGGAGATAGGCATCTTGACAGAGGTAATGTAGTTCAAATGTGGGCATTACAATGGGCCTAAATCAAACATGTTGTGTCATTCTAAAAAGACTACACGAGGATGCTCTCACAAGTTAAAGATCTATAAATTAAGGAGGTTGGTTTAATTTCAGATACCTTGATCTTGGATTTCTAGCTTCCAAAACCAAAATTAAAAAATACAAATATTACTCCCTTTGTGGTACTTTCTTATCGTAACCCTAGCAAACTAATGTAAATTAAATACAATGCTTGTGAAACAGTATTTTGTAAGAATGTAATCTCTCAGTTGTATATTTACTTTTAGGGAAAAATGAGTCGTCATTTATGTGTTTTAAAAATTTATCAGCACCTTAGAAGTTCTTCCTTCAAAATATCACTATCTTGATTTATGGTCGTGATTTTCAGCCAACTATGTTTTATATTTATATGTTTTTTTACTCATCTGTATCCTTGCTCAAGAGAGCAGAGTTTAATGGAGTGGTTAAGGGAGTGACTATGGAGTTAGACTTGGGATCACAGTTCTGATGTATCCATTTCCCGTGGATTCCAGCTAACCTTGTTATATTCCTGCTTGTCCTCAATTCTGGTCTCCTTCAACTCCCATTATAACACACACTCACCACTGCCAAGGGCGAGCTGAGTTAGGGCGAGCTGAGTTCATTCACTCTGGGTGGTATTTCCTATATTTACAAATCTGTCCTAATCACTGTCACTCACGCTAGGCTTTGTAGCCAAAGAGTATGAAACTGAAATCATTAAAGTCTCGGCAGCAGACTTAAAGCATGCTCAATACATGCCGAGATAGTTCATCCGCTAACTGAACCAGTAATAGAAGTAGTCACATAACACAGATTGCCTTAAAAAAATAATTCCCAATAAAGAGCTGAGCCTGTAATAGAAGTTTGATTTTAATAAACGATTTTGATCGCCCAGCTGATCAAACGAAATACTACGAAGGATTTCAGTCACAATGGTGAAGTAAACACCACCGACCCTCCTCCCCCGGCCCGGGCCCCCTACACCTCACAAGGCCCAAACTCCAGACACCCCAGAGACGATCCCGGGGCCGCGTGGGAGGAAGTCGGGTGCGACCGGTCCCGTTACCTCCGGCACGCACCCCTTTCTTACTGGGACAGACCTCCTCTCCGTTCGGTACACTGGTGATGAGGCTGTAACTTAAAGTAGGGGGAATTGTTAAAGAACCCAGGACAGACTCTTCCTACGCTCTCTCCTTCACAGACTTTCCTGGATTCACCAAGACACCAGAATCCTTCCTTCCGGTGCGGTTCCTCCTCTGCGCTCACTGATCACCGAAGGAACCATCAGTGCACAGCTATCTATCGTGTAAGGATCTCCGAGACGCCACACTGTGCTCGAGCGTCCCGGGACGCAGCCCGCTCTTCCTGGGTGTGTGCAGCAGGCCGGCCCCGCGCCCACATCCGCGGGCCTGGCGTTCTCGGCGGGTGGCAAGGTCTGAACCTCCTATTGGAGCTTGGAGGGATCGATCACACCGGACCCGCCAATGGGAAGCCCGGCAGCCCGCACGCAACCACAGCCACACCTCCTCCCACGTGACTTGTGGCGGCTGACGTCATGACGTCGTGCGCCTGGAGCGACGGCGAGCCTCCGGCGCCGTTGATTGGCTAGCGCGGTCTCCGGTCCCGGCTGTCACGTCTCGGCGCGGCCTCTGGGCCGAGCTTGGCGTCTCCTTACCATGACCCGGTCCCTTCTCAGCGATCTCTCTTGACGCCTCCTCCGCCCAGGGCATGTGGATCCCGGCGGGTCGCAGCTGGTGGCGCGGTCGGGCGCTGGCGCCCTGGGCTTCAGGGCCCGCCCGACCCAGGTTGCCCTGGTCCCGGCCGGCGCCGACCCACGCGGTCGCCACGGATCCCCGGGCGCCCTCCAGGCCCTACGGCTCTGCAGAGCTCAAGGTGACCGCCACGACCCGCTTGGGGGCCGTTAAACTTGGGGTGCCCCGCGAGGGTGGGACTCTGGGGGTGCTCCCGAGGCCCGGGGGCACGGGTCCCCCAGATCCTAGCTGCAGGGCCGGCTTCCGCCACAGCCGGCGGCGAGCGGGGGACCCAGCCCGGCCCGATGGCCCAAACAGCTCCGATCCGGATTCGTTCTTGGGGGGCCCTGGGCCACGCACTTTGCCGATGAAGTGTCCCTCGTTTTGTGGAGTTTCCCTCTCACCCCACCCCGAAAATCCTTGTGAGAAGCTGCTCTCGGATGCTCCACTTTCCTGCAGCTCATTAGCCGGAGGATCTCGACTTGGCCTTTCTCTGGATGGACTTTCTCTGTTGAATGGCAGGCTAAGCAAACCGTCTTTGGCTATTGGTGATACTTGCCTGATCTAAGACATACAACTTTGAGGTCCCTAAGCTAGATTTTTAGAAGCGTCGGCTGCTTCTGTTTTATTATTACTGTTCTGCCCCCAGCCTCTCTCTCCCCTGCGATCCCTCCACGGAGGACAGACCTGTGAAAATTGACTCTCCTTTGGAGAAGATGGGATTCTACCGCTCTAGGTTACGCTAGCAGCCATTGAGATAACTGAAGTGGTAAAAGTTGAGGCAGAAAGGTGATTGAATGCAAGTTCCGAATTAGTGGAAAAAATAATATGACTCACCGACGTTCACCTTTGCAGAAACTCCTGTTTCTAAAAGTGGATTTGTGTATACTTCAAAGTATTTAAAACACTTTTCCGTGTATCTTTGACTTAGAGAGGAAAAAAAGTCTATAGTAAAAAAAATGTCGTGTGTGTGTGTCTGTGTCTGTGTGTGCACGCACACAGACTTATTTGAAGATACAATCATACTTTTAGGTGCTCTTATTGAAACAATTACAGAACTGAGGTGAATTGTATAGTGTAATTTGCTGATGATGTAATACTAATTAGATTGGAAAAATTAAATGTTCAGAATACAAAAAAGGGGGCATTATACTTGAATGAGTTTTCTTTATTTTGGTTTTTGAATCAGAGTTCCCTTGTGTAGCTCAGGCTAGCCTGAAGCATCTATCTGGTAGTCTTCCTGCCTCAGCCTTCAGAATTCTTGGATTTATAGACATGGACCACCATACCCAGCCTGAATACATTTGAGTAGTTAGAGATGTGGCTCAGCAAAGATGATATGTGGGGGGAAAGCCATGAGTTTCATTTTAAATATTTTAAGTATTACTTTAATATTTGAGTAGTTTAAAACTTTAAGTGGTAAAATGCTTTTTGTTGTGGTTTATGTTATCTTTTCCTCAACAAGAGCGACAAAGTAACAAAAATTATAACTAAATTAACTCTTTGAAGGCTTTACTGTTAAGAGCACAGATTTTTAAATGAGCCTGATTTGTGAGTTTCATTGTGATAGCAGCACATCACTTCCTGTCATTTTTTTTCTGTAGCTTGTTAGCCTTAAGAATTTTTGCTGTATAAAGAGTTTTTTTCAGAATGAGACTTCTAGTTACCTTTTAGATGTTCTAGGTATTCTCTGTCCATGAAGATAGAGTCAGGTCCTGATTACCTTTTATGTTTCTCTTGTAATTTGTTCTTTGTTATATGAGCATAGTCATATATCTTTACTTTCGTAACAATTAATTATAAGCTTTGCAAGTTATAGTAAGTTAAATATTAACATTAAAACTATCTTGAGTTACAGATTTGTTTTCTATTATACACAGTTTATCTTACTGTAGTGTTTCTCTTCCCTTTCTAGGAAACACCTGACATGTCTAGATTTCCTGTTGAAGATATCAGAAATTTCAGTATTATTGCACATGTAGATCATGGCAAAAGCACTTTAGCTGACAGACTCCTGGAACTAACAGGTATTGTCAGTTCACACCATTGGCATAATGTGTAATTGGGGTTTCCTTTTGCCGTACACTTTTAATATTTGGTTTTACTTTCATTGTGGTGTTTTCTTTTGTAAATCTTTGGAAAATCATTGAGGGCTTTTGTTTCTAGGGACAATTGAGAAGACAACGAATAACAAACAAGTTCTTGATAAATTGCAAGTGGAACGAGAAAGAGGAATCACTGTTAAGGCACAGACCGCATCTCTGTTTTACAGTTTTGGAGGAAAGCAGTATCTTTTAAATCTCATTGATACACCAGTAAGTTCATGCATGAACTGTTAAAGTTAGTCTTGTACTAATAACATGAGTTCTTGATTTTTGAGCTATTTTTAAAAAACATATCTTTTTGTTTTCTTATTCTTGGGTTAATAGTAACTTGTTTAACAAGTTATCAGCAGAAGAAATATAGGGGCTGGGAAGGTGGCTCAGTGATAGAGTGCTTGCTTTGCATGCATGAGACCCTGGGTTCAATTCCTCAGCACCACATAAGCAGAAAAAGCCGGGAGTGGTGCTATGGTTCAAGTGGTAGAGCACTAGCCTTGAGCTGACGAGCTGAAGGACAGCTCCCAGGCCTACAGTTCAGGGTAGGAGGAAGAGGAAGGGGAGGGGGAGGAAAAAAATATATAATATCTTCATTTCAAGTAGAGTCAGTAGATTTGTTTCAACATCCTTACATTTAAAAAAAATAGAAATCACAGTGTATGTTTAAAAATACCAATCTTTCTGTTTTGTAGGGACATGTTGATTTTAGTTATGAGGTGTCCAGGTCGCTTTCTGCTTGCCAGGGGGTTTTACTGGTGGTTGATGCAAATGAGGTAAGACTTTTTCATTTTAATTGATGTGACAATCTTATTTGGTTGTTTGGGAAAGTTTTCCTTAAAACATGTGTTAGGAATAAAATCTTTGTATTTGAATGAAAGTATATTGTATTCCTCAAAATCATGAGCTTTGATACTGATGAGGTGAAAATCTTATTACACTAAAACATTCCATGGGGTTGAGACTTTTATTTAAACTTTTTTTAAAGCTGATTAGAGGAATTGTTCAAAAGATTGCTGTAGTTCTTGTTGAAATATGTTGTATTTTCAATGCACTGTATCAAAACCTGTTAATAGTAACTGAAGTTTCTATAGCAGTTTTATAGCAAAGCTTGAAAATATTTAATTTCGAAGTCATGTTAGGTGATTTTAATGCAATAATGAATGTACAAAGTGATAGGTTTCAGTGATATTGGTAACATTATCAAATCCTTTGTGGTATAAACACAGTCATCAAAACACACACAAGTTTGATAAAAGGTCTAAAACAGATTGGAATACTTTGTAAGCATGTGTGGAAAGATAACAGTGAAATCCTGTCCTATGTAATATAAGCTCATTTAAAAACACACATGTTAGGCATATTATATATAATTATTATAAGAATTATGATACACTAAAGTAAGATTTTGATATATCTTAGTTTTTTACAGTGTTCATTTAAAACTCAAAAGAGGTGGGCTGGGAAGGTGGTTCAGTGTTAGAGTGCTTGCCTTGCATGCATGAGGCCCTGGGTTCAGTTCCACAGTACCACATAAGCAGAAAAAAGCTGGAAGTGGTGCTTTGGCCCAAATTGTAGAGCACTAGCCTTGAGCTGAAGAGCTGAGGGACAGCGCCTAGGCCCAGAGTTCAGGCCCCACAACCGACCAAAAAAATCAAAAAACAAAAACTCAAAAGAGGTGTTCTGATTATTGTGTCAAGAAGTACTTGATTCTTATTCTCTACCTTGAAGGAGGCTTTGTAAACTGTATCATATGACTATTCTATAGTAGGCCCTTAAAGGTCCTAGTGTTGTCTTTATGTCTCCAGTGCCTAACAGTTCCTGGCACAGTCTCAAGTGCCTAACACAGTGCTTGACACAGAGAAGGACCTTCAGTAAATTCCTTCTGAAATAACAGGAATTATCACACTGAGAGATCCAGCTTTATGGAAGTACAAGTACCAGAGTTTACTTTATGGTTCTGCTCAGTGAGATTGTCTACATTAAACTTGGTAGACTGTTGGTTTATTTTGCTTGACTTGACGATTGCATTGCCGTTGACAATCTTTATTTTAGTCTGGAGAGAAATAGAGGAAGGATATTCTTGATGAACTTTCTGACACTGAAATGAAATATTGAGATAATTACACAACTAAACGTTATTTTTGCTGAGCTTTAGAAGTTCTTGTCCATAATAGATTGTCTTCACTGTTTTGTGCTTGTGGCAAAATAGCTTGTCATGGTGAGAGTACTTGGTGGGGCCAAAGAGAAGAGGGGAAAGGCAGGGTCCTACAGTGCCCTGCAAGGGCATACTTCCAGTGATCCAGGGACCTCCCCCATAGGTCCTGTCTCCTAACCAGAACAAAAGAGACTTTTAACACATAAGCTTTGGGGGGCTGGGGGGGCATTCAAATATATGACATTTTGTTTTTTATTTTCACAGTGATATAAAAATCTCAGGTTCTTGTTCAGTTTTTTATTCAGGCAGTGAAAGTAATTAGGAAGCTTGCTAGAAAAGCAATACACTTTGAATAGACTGAAAGTGGGTTATTTCTAGGGTGAGAATGGCCAAAACCTTACTTTTGATGAAGCTTATATGGAATTGTTTTGAATGATAAATTTTTCAATACAAAGCAAAGTGGTCAATCTCTATGTCATGTTTTGATTGTTCCAGGGTATCCAAGCCCAAACAGTGGCAAACTTCTTTCTTGCCTTTGAAGCACAGCTGTCAGTAATTCCAGTTATAAACAAGGTAATTGCATTGAGGCATTAATTCAGTTTCACTTTATAGAATTCTATCTAGTGTTTAAATGTGAGATATACTGTTTCTTCTTCTATGAGGGATCTCAGGATATTTATTCATTATGTTGGTGGGATTTATCTCCTTGAGTTTCATGTGAAGTATTGCAAATCAAACTCCTACACCCTTATAAGTGGTTAAAAAGATAGTTGCCCAGATTCAAAGTTTAAGTTCAAGATTTTGTGCTTGCTAGCCACGCTGTTTGAGGCAATCTGCAGCACTTTGTGCCCTGGTTGAAATAAGAGTACTTAGAGCCTCCTGTTTACACTTCCTGAAGTGGCTAGAATGACAAGTATTTGAGCACCACCACGCCCAGCTTTTGTTCAGATGGGGTCTTGAAACCTTTTGCCCTGCCTGGCCTGGATTTATAATTTTCTTGATCTCAGTCTCATAAATACTGGGATTATAGGCATGAGCCACTACATTCTGCGTAATTGTGTGTGTGTGTGTGTGTGTGTGTGTGTGTGTGTGTGTGTGTGTGTGCGATTATAGGCATGAGCCACTACATTCTGCTTAAGTGTGTGTGTGTGTGTGTGTGTACCAGTCCTTGGCTTAAACTCAGGGTGTAGGATGCTGTCCCTGAGCGTTTTTGCTCAAAGGTAGTGCTCTACCACGTTAGCCATAGCTCTACTTCCAACTTTTTCTGTAGTTAATTAAAGAAAGTCTCACAACCTTTCCTGCATAGGCTGGTTTCAAACCACAATCCTGAAATCTCAGCCTTCTGAGTAGCTAGGATTATAGGCATAAGCCACCAGTGCCCAGTTATTCTTAACTTTTAAAATCAATTCACAGATTACTGCTTATGTTGTTATTATATTCTTGACCCTGCTTACATTGTTTTTCCTGCTTTGCTTCTTGATTTCTAGTTTTTTAGTACTTGTTAAAACTGTTTTGATATACGTAATTTTAATTCTTTTGAAAAACTCATAGGAGCCAGGAAGGTTTAGTCAGAGAAGCTTGTAACTATCACCAAATATTGCTAGTATGTAATGAATTTTATTTTTATTATCCTGGATTTTTTTTTAAGATAGATCTGAAGAATGCTGATCCTGAAAGGGTTGAAAAGCAGATTGAAAAAGTGTTTGATATTCCATCTGAGGAATGTATTAAGGTAAAATCCTTTTTTGGAAGATACTGATTATACTTTAAAAGAGCTGTTTTAAAAGCTAGCTATAATAATTATAGGAAACAGTCTATTTGTATTTTATTTCAAAATCGATATGATTTTAAATTTAATTTTTTTTATTTAAGTGTCAGATGATGGCTTGCCACAGACTGCTGTGTTGCCTGGTAGTGTATCGTATCATTTCAGCAATGTGTCTTTTTTTTTTTCTCTAAGTCTTAATTGTTTTTTTTTTTAATTGTTTTTTTTTTTGTCGGTCGTGGGGCTTGAACTCTGGGCCTGGGCGCTGTCCCTCAGCTCTTCAGCTCAAGGCAAGCGCTCTACCACTTGAGCTACAGTGCCACTTCCGGTTTTCTGGTGGTTTATTGGAGTTAGGAGTCTCAAGGTCTTTCCTGCCCGGGCTGGCTTTGAACCGCGATCCTCAGATCTCAGCCTCTTGAGTAGCTAGGATTACAGGCGTGAGCCACCAGCGCCCGGCCCTTAATTGTTTTTTAAAAGCAAGTTTCAGGTACCCAATTGTTTTTATTGAAACACAATAAATTATTGCATAGAACCTTAACCTTTTCTAAAAAGAGGAGAGTGAACTTGGGAAGAAAGGGTGTTGAAAGGCTTGACATCATCCTTAATTTTTGAGATTTTGGTGGAATATTATTTACCAAATGAGCAAAATGAAGCTCAAGAAAATAAGTATTGCTCAGTGATATCCATTCCACAAGTCTGTAGCACGGACTGCTGCTCAGATTTGTTGAACACCTTATAAATTGCTCTCTTAATTCCATATGAAAGTGCTCTTTTATTCAATTTTATTAATGTAGATGCACTTAACTAGAATGCAAAGAGGTATTTGTCTGTGTACTCTTATAGCTGCTTATGATTTTCTCTGTATTCAAGCAAATGTTAGATTTCTAACTTCTGATCATAAATAATTGTGTTCTTGTATTTATTTAAATTCTTGTACTTTTTATATGTATATTTTCAGATTTCTGCTAAACTTGGAACAAATGTTGAAAGTGTTCTTCACGCAGTTATTGAAAGGATACCTCCGTAAGCATTTTACTATTTTTATATTATTCATTTACATATAGTTCAAGATCATCAATTTGACCTCTCATTGTTACTTAGTGTGTATGATAAATACTCTTGCAGTAAGTGAGAATAAATTTTTGCTTTTAACAGCATGGATGAGGCAAATACAATACAATTAAAAAGGCAAGAATAGGAATCTTTTCTTGATGAATAATAAAGAAACTTAAATACGTTGGTAGTTCTTCACCTTATATTGAAGCATAATGAAATATATACATAAGTAACTGAAACATGAGATTACCCACCATACCCTATACCATTAATCATAGCTACTTGGGAGGCAGAAGTAGTAGGATCATGGTTTGAATGTAGTTTATGAGTTAGTGGCACCTTATCTCAAAGGCAAGCAGTACCATAGTGGTGCACACTTGTAATCCCAGCTACAATTCAGCCATAGTTGATGCTTGTTGTCCGAGGTCAGTCTGGGTAGAATTGTGAGAATTGATCTGAAAAGTCCCAAGCTAAAAGGGGTCGGCATGTAGCTCAAGTTGCAAAGTAGCACTGAGGGTTTTTTTTGGGGGGGAGGGAGGGAATGGTCGTGGGGTGTGCACTCTGGGCTGGGCGCTGTCCCTCAGCTCTTCAGCTCAAGGCTAGCGCTCTACCACTTGAGCCACAGTGCCACTTCCGGCTTTTTTCTGCTTATGTGGTGCTGAGGAATCGAACCCAGGGCCTCATGCATGCGAGGCAAGCACTCTACCACTGAGCCACCTTCCCAGCTCATTAGGTTCTTGTTTGGGTTTACATAATAATAAATAAATAATAAATGTTAAACCAAAGTAGTTGAAAACAGGATTTTATAGATGAAGATTGCAATTCAGTATGTGTATATATATATTTTTAACTTGTATCTAATAGGCCTAAAGTGCATCGCAACAATCCACTGAAAGCATTGGTATTTGATTCAACCTTTGACCAGTATAGAGGTGTGATAGCTAATGTGGCGTTATTTGATGGCATGGTTTCCAAAGGAGATAAAATTGTATCTGCACATACTCTAAAGACATATGAAGTTAATGAAGTAGGAATTTTGGTTCCTAATGAGCAGTCAACTCATAAATTGTAAGTAATCTGTCAGTAATTAAAATATGTCCATATGTATTTCTATTTCTACTGCTTTCTATAAGAATCCCAGTTGGATTACAGAAAAATAAAACCTGATCAATGTAGCTATACAGCAAATATTCTATCACAAATATTCTCATGCATGAAGGGAAATAAGACATCTGAGGTGAGAGATTTTTATTCTTCGTGACTAGCTGTAACTAACTTAATGATCACGGTGCAATGGGGCCCATATTTTAGTACTTGATGAGAGGATGAGTTAGTCTCTTCTCCTCATATACATGTGCAGTGTTTTAAGAGGGTTTTTTTTTTTGACATTTCATTACAACTAAATTTTCCACTATAAAAGTCATATAGAAAAAAGCTGACAATTCTTTTTTTGTATAGTGTGCAATTCATGGTAGAACTTTGTTTGACTAATTCATGGGATTAACAAAACAATGTACATTAGAGAAAAACAGATCTGAGTTTGCTTATACAACAGTCATTAAACCCTTCGCATTAAACCCTTCCCATGTTAGATACTGATGGGACATGACCTTGGACAAATAATATGAAACTGCAAAGGTCCTGTTTGCTCTATAAAAGTTAAAGTCTTGAATCAAATGGCTTTGCAAATCACATTTTAGGGTTTAATGTTGTATGTCTAAAAAGCAGTATGTTACTCAATTTTTTATTTTACTTTATTTTATTTCATTTTTGTGATCAGTCATGGGGTTTGAATTCTGGGCTTGGGCATTGTCCCTCACCTCTTCAGCTCAAGGCTAGTGCTCTACAACTTCAGCCACAGCACCACTTCCAGTTTTCTGGATGTTTTATTGGAATCTCATGGACTTTCCTGAGCGGGCTGGCTTTGAACCATAGTTCTCAGATCTCAGCCTCCTGAGTAGCTAGGATTACAAGTGTAGGCCACTGGTGTGCAGCTATTACTCAGGTCTTTAGCTAGAAAGTCTTAAGTTTATTGAAATATTTCTACAGTCTGCTTATATCCTGCCATATGTATTAAGCATTATCTTTATTTAAAATTCTTACACCTCTTCCTACATATAAATTACTGTGTTATTATGTAGGACATTTTTAAAGCTAATTTAATGATCTAAGATGGACTAGGTCCCATATTAATGTGTTTGATGGGACAGATCACAATTGAAATACAGTACAAAGAAGTCTTTCATTTTGAACAGGGTACTGGTGGCTCATGCCTATAATCCCAGCTATTCAGGAGGCAGAGATCTGAGGATTAATTTTTGGAAGCCAGCCTGGGCAGGAAACTGTGTGAGACTCTTTGCCAATGAACTGTTCAGATGAAGTTGGGAGTGGTGCTGTGGTGCAAATGGTAGAATGCTAGTCTTGAGCAAAAGAACCTCGGGGATTCTAACCAGGCCTTGGGTTCAAGCCCCAGGACTGGCAAAGAAAATAAAAATTAAAAAAAAATTGACACTTGGAATCATGGAATTTGATCTTTTTCTATGAATATCAAATAAGTATCAGGTTTGCATCTTTTTTTTATGATTGAGTAAAAATGTACTTTTCTTGTTAAGAACATATGTAACTGGTTAATGAGACATCAAAAGCTGTGCCTTTTGAATTGCAAAAGAGAGGTAAGATCATGAAGGCTTCAGAAGCTTGAGCAGAGATTGTAGGTACTGGACAGGCTATAAAGAGTTTTTGTTGAAGGGCTTTTAGGGATTGATATGTAGCACAGTCATTTGATCAGATTTTTTTTGGAAAGGATGTTATAATTTTCAGGAACAACAGAACTAATTGTGAATATGCACTTAAACATGAAAGCAGTAAACATTTGCCTATAATAATTTTATTTAGATATGCAGGACAGGTGGGCTATCTGATTGCTGGGATGAAAACTGTCACTGAAGCACAAATAGGAGATACATTGTATTTACATAAGCATCCAGTGGAGCCCTTGCCTGGGTTTAAATCCGCGAAACCAATGGTATTTGCAGGTGAGGAGCTCACAAAATCAAAGTTTGAGGGCTAAAATATTTTAAAACAAAGTATGTCTGAAATAAAAGTATGTCTGAGATAAAAGTTAACTTATTAAAAGATATACATTCAGGTAATTTCAAGTAATTGCTAATGGCAGGACACTGTTTCATAGTGTGTATCTGTATGTGTGTATGTTTGTGTGTGTGTGCTTTATTTCTATTTATATAGCAGTTTCTATCCGATTTATATCTAGAAGTGGTACACACCTGTAATCTGAATACTTGCGAGACTGAAGCAAGACGATTGTGAATTTGAAATCAGCCTGGCCTACATAGCAAAACTCTGTCTCAAAAATGAAAGAATATATAAAAGTATATATAAACACAAATGTATGTGTAAAAAATACACATCTCTGATTGCATGTATATGATGAAATTTTATGTGAGAAATCATTTAGGATGCCTTAAATAAGAAGTAAGTTGATACATACAAGAGTTTAGATATAGGAATTTTCTTCTTATATCTCTAGGGAGTTCATTATTATGTTTGAACACATTTTTCTAGTTATAGTGTTTTTATTACATGTATCCAGCCGACATTGTTGTCCTCCTCCTAGCCAGGCTTTGCTGAATTTCGTATGGTACCAGTGTTGAATTGGAAGAATAATTTAGCTTCAAGTATGTGTAACTTCAGAAACTTGTTCACTAGATGTGCTATTAGGGACATATGGGAAAAGAAAAATCTGTTGGGAGGTCACCAGGTTGCTCTGTACCCTAGGCACCCAGATTTTTTCCCTGAAGTTCGTTCCTATCATTGTGGATATGCATCATGTTTAGTAAAGCCAGTCATTTGACTTTTAGAGCACTTGTGTGGTATCAACTTCACAGGTAGGAGATGAGAGAGATTCTGAGAAATCTGTATCCTCAAAAGTTGTTTCTTTTCACTAAATTGTTAAAAACAAAATTTATCTTTGATTTTAATAGAAAACCTGTCCTAGAAAATAGGAGTTCAGTATAGTTCCTATTTTGCTTATGTATCTGTAACCTATTTATAGTTTTATCTATAGCTGTGGAATATATATGCTTGTTTCTTAAACACAATTACCTAATTTTGAATAGGCCTAATTCCCTGTTTCCCATTGTTATTGCTTTTCTTCTCTCTACATTTCTACAACACGAGTAACATTGTTTGGAGTATGAACAAGCTTTAATACAAGTGTATTAAAGCTAATGATATGCAAGGTACTTTGCAACCAATTTCTCTTAGTATTTATAATGTTTGGCCAGTCAAAACTAGGAAGATAATATTGATTTTTGTACTTTGCAGCCTTACACATTAGGCTTGGTTTGTAAGGCAGTGGATTGTGTTGTAGTAATAATTTTTGTGTCCCCAGGAATGTACCCTATAGATCAGTCTGAATATAATAACCTGAAGAGTGCTATAGAAAAACTGACTTTAAATGACTCCAGTGTGACAGTTCATCGGGATAGTAGCCTTGCCCTGGGTGCTGGCTGGAGGTAAGCTTTGTTCACATAGTAGAGTCATGTTTTTATAGGAAAATAAAATTTAAAAGCTTTTGAAATTCCTGAGGATCCCCTGGTGTGAGAAAATGACCAAAATACTTGGTTTTTCACATACAGATTCATGTTTTGTAAGTTTTACAGTTAATTTAAAATAGATTGTCAGTGGAAGACTTGACTCTAATTTAATTCAATTATACAAGCACTTATTTGTGATATGAGTTGCTTGAATGGATAACTGTTTTGATACCACTCCTCTCCAACATCATATCAATAGATTCATTTAAAAAACAGAGCCTATGCTAGGACATGAATATTTTGGAGTCTGTCTTTTTTTTCTCCCACAGGTTGGGATTTCTTGGACTATTACATATGGAAGTTTTCAATCAGCGACTAGAACAAGAATATAATGCTTCTGTTATTTTGACAACCCCCACTGTTCCATATAAAGCTGTTCTTGCATCAGCAAAATTGATAAAGGTTGTGAAATATTTAATACCACTTTGTATGAGCACAAATAGAGAACTTCACAAATAAATGTGGACTTTATTGCAGAATGCAAGATAAATTTTTATTAATTTCTTTTTAGTTTAATAGCTGATGTCCTATTAGAATATATTCTTGTTTATAAGTAATAAAGATTAACTTCTCTTCTTTTTAATAACAAAGTACCTTTCTGAAAACTATATTATTTTTCTTAAAGAGGCTTCCACATTATAAAAACTAGTCTGGGGGCTGGGAAGGTGGCTCAGTGGTAGAGTGCTTGCCTTGCATGCCTGAGGTCCTGGGTTCGATTCCCCAGCACTACATAAGCAAAAAAAAAAAAAAGCCGGAAGTGGCGCTATGGCTCAAGTGGAAGAGTGCTAGCCTTGAGCTGAAGAGCTGAGGGACAGCGCCCAGGCCCAGAGTTCAGGCCCCATAACCGGACCCAAAAAAACAAACAAACAAAAAACTAGTCTGTATCTGATAGAGTTAGTAATCAAAGTACTGTTCAAAATTCAACAAAAATATGAAAGCTATAACTTCCATCATAAATAACAAAATGTGAAGTATTTATTGCATTTGTTTTAGAAAAATTTAAATTTCAGTTGAATGAGGTAGACAATATTATATTCCATGTGAATTGCAATTTATTAACCACTAAATTTGGCATATATATTTTAAAAAATAGTTTATTAATTAGCTAAATGCACTATAAAGGTCACATTTAAATGTAGTCTTAGGCTAGGAGTGTGGCTTAGTGGTAGAGTGCTTGCCTAGCATGCATGAAGCCCTGGGTTCTATTCCTCAGTACCACATAAACAGAAAAAGCTGGAGGTGGTGCTGTAGTCGAGTGATAGAGTGCTAGCATTGAGCAAAAGAAGCTCAGGGACAGTGCCCAAGCCCTGAGTTCAAGCCCAGGACTAGCAAAAAAAAAAAAAAAAGTAATTTAAATGTAGTCTTAAAAAATAATACAATCCTTTGTCATAATTTTCTAAATTTTATAATTTGAATTTAAATGTGAATGAAGTACTTATTTATAATCAATATTAGTAATGT